CAAACAGAAAATACGCGTAGTGAGATACGAAATATCTTACTGCTAATGCGCGCGAATGACCATCATTACAAGCACACGCAACGCTATTACAAAGATACGCTTAACAACACAGCAATATTTCCGCACGGTCACACTTCGCGAGGTTCTCTTTGGAACAATGCTTTACAAAAGTTTACGCCACTGCGTATTTGTGATTACTTGCACGATTTATCTCGCTCAATTCCGGCACGAGAGAGGACACACATGTGTCGCAATAGCGAACCGGCACGCACCTCACGAAGGACACCGTGACACGTAGGACGGCTAGTCCAGACAAAGGAAAAACGTGTGTAAATCTCTAGCGTGAGAGGAAACGGCTTCTGTCTTCTTGCGACCTGATACGACTCGATACGACTGGATGCGACTGACTGTAGAGAGAGAACCGTCTATAGCACTTACGGTGTAATCGCGAAAGCTTGGCGCGGCAGTAGTTTCTGCTTTCGTCTATCAGCGCGCGGTAGCTGCTGCACAGGTGTGTATGCATGCGCGTCCAGCGTTAGCTGGGGCGCTACATGTTACCATTACCGATTTACCGACTTGTAACTGTCATCGCGGTGGATTCGAATGACAGTTCGCGCATTTAATGTAATATTACTTATTTTATTTATTATTTTTTATTGTTTTTTATTAGTTAAATGCGTGCACCTGTATTGTTTTAGTAAATGAAGTAAGCTGTACATGGACGACGAAATATAAATAATAAATAAAGAAATAAATTAAAAATAAATAATAATAAAGGAGAAGGAGAGAGCAAGAGAGAGAGAGAGCAAGATAGAGAGAGAGAGAGTAAATATCTCTGTCTCCGTTTCTCTCCGTCTCTCTTTCTCTCTCTCTCTTTGTTCTGTTACAGCCGCTGTTTACATCGGTCTTCGAGCCTTACAGCGTCTTCGCTCGGCTCGGAGGACGCTCCGGGTCGCGGAGAATGCGCTCACCGGCGTTGCTCTGGCGGCAGCTGTCCTCCGCTCGTCCGCGGTGTCCGTCGACTCCGTCCTCGCGGCTCCCTCGCGGCAACTCGTGACCGGTCCACTTCGGCAGCTCCTTCTCGACGTTCTACGAACTGGTCTGTCACCTCTGAATGTCGGCTGAAACAAGCCTTCTTAGAGTGGCCTACCTTGTTGGTCTCTAATTAATATTATTATTCATAAAAGCGATTTACCTGGGATATCCGGTCCTTCAGATGCTCCTCTCGAGAATTCCTCCTCTTCTACGGCGGCAGCGAATCTTGATATCTTGATATCTTGAAATCTTTGATATTGGTCTTCTTCTTCTTGATTCAACCTCCCGATGACCGTATTTTTACACACGAAAATAATTGAGGGCTTTGTAAGTTCACGTCCTATTCGCCTCACGGCTAGGACGCGACATCCACTTGCAGCCGGGAAGCTCGTTTTAAAGTTCCTTCCTTCCTTCCTTTTCGAATTACTGACGATAATTAAAAAATCGCCACGTCACATTATATATATTAGGACCTTGAATAAGTTCTCGCTGATTTTTCGTGAAAATTTATGCTTTATTTAAAAAAAGTCGTAAAAAACATGTCACTTAAAGTATTGTCCATCGCTAGCCACTACTTACTCCCATCTTTCTGGTAGCATTTGAATTCCATGTCGGAAAAACGACACGTCTTTTGAGGCTACCCATTTTTTGGCATCTTCATAAGAGTGAAAGTGCTGCTCAGCCAGGCCATGTGCCATCGATCGAAACAAGTCGAAACAATAATCGGAAGGGGCAATGTCTGGTGAATACGGCGGGTGGGGTAGGACTTCCCATTTAAGCGTTTCCAAGTAAGGTTTCACCGGTTGTACAAGATGTGGTCGAACGTTGTCATGTTGAAAAATCACTTTGTCGTATCTCTATTCATATAGCGGCCGCTTTTCCTTCAATGCTCGGCTCAAACGCATCAATTGTAGTCGATAGCGATCTCCCGTGATGGTTTTGCTCGGTTTGAGCAGCTCATAATAAACTATACCCAACTGATCCCACCAAATGCAGAGCAGAAGCTTCGAACCATGGATTCGGCTTTGTCGACGATGTTGATGCATGGCCGGGCTTACCCCACGATCTTCTACGCTTAGGGTTATCGTAGTGTATCCACTTTTCATCGCTAGTCACGATACGATGCAAAAAACCTTTCCTTTTCTGCCGTTGAAGCAGCTGTTCACACGTGAAAAGACGCCGTTCGACGTCTCTCGGCTTTAACTCGTACGGCACCCAATCTCCTTGCTTTTGAATCATTCCTAATACTTTCAAACATTTCGAAACTGTTGTGTGATCAACTCTTAATGATTCTGCAAGTTCAGCTAGCGTCTGACATGAGTCTTCATGAAGTAATGCCTCCAATTCTTTGTCTTCAAACTTTTTCGATGCGCCAGAGCGTTCTTTATCTTCAACATCAAAATCATTATTTTTGAAGCGTCTAAACCAATTTCTGCATGTTGTTTCCGACAGAGCATGGTCGCCGTAAGTCGCAACAAGTATTCTGTGTGCTTCAACTGCAGATTTTTTTTGAATAAAGTAATGCAGTAAAATTCCTCGCAAAAATTCTTTTTTTGACACAAAACTCGACATGTTTAACACTTTATATATATAGAAGCGTGCTTCTAACCACTTCAGTAATGCAGGCACCAAACAGTGGGACGTCTAGCTGCGGCTATAGTAGTCTGAAATAAGTAAACCAAAAAAATTTGTTTATTTTACATCAAAACACAGTATTTCATTTGATATAAAAAAAGTTTAAATTGATAAAATTGTGGCATACAGAATGAAAAAGTACGATTTTTGCCATCCAAATTAAAAATCCACTTTAATCAAGCTATAAGTTATTTAAATTAAAAATATTGTTATAACAGGTATAGTCTCTGAAAAAACAATTTTTTATAAGCACACATCGGAAGAACACGAGAGATTAGGTAGTTTTTGAGTTCCACCAGTATAAAAAAAGTTATTCTGAGAAAAACGCGTTTAAAGTTTTCGCTCGGAAAAAACATTAGTTTTTAGATACTTACAGTTACTTCGAGCTAATCAGCAATTACAAGGCCGTATAATAAGCCTTCCAATTTCTCGAGAAACTGCAATTGTTCAATTTGCTGCAATCTACGAGGCGCACGAGCTTCCTTAGTGTTGCTACCTTGAGCTGGCTCGCTTTGAGCACTTGATTCGCGCGGCATCGTATGAATCGGCGTATTTTTTACATTGTGGTCCAATGTTTATTTCCAGGACATTCATCATCTTTTGGATGGCAAAATAGAATAAGCCTCGTTGAATTAGCCTGCGACAATATAAGCCGCGATTTCAACAGTTTTTATGCCTGAGTGCAAGTGTTTGAGGACTAAGCGCCAAATGTTGTGTTAAAACTCTCGTTTACATTTTGCGTATGCCTTCTCAAACATCTCTCCAACAGCTTAGGGTCTTTATTCTTGAAATTTTTGCGTATACGTAATTTTCATTGCGCAGCTATTTTATAGTATGATTAAACCTGCGTAGTAAAACTTACGTATACGCAACTATTTCAAGAATAGGAGCCCAGATTTCGACAAATCTTCATATATAAATTTGATAAGTTTTTCAAGATCTGCGCGTAGCGGGGCTGGGTGATCAAAATCTTTTAATTTGCCTGTGACTTTGACAACCTGCCGAATAATGATGCTCATCTTCTCTGCTTCCTTTTCGTGAGTGTCTCATTTTGATTTGTGTGCAAAAACTTATTTCGGAGCACTTCTATACGAATTGAAAACACGACTGAATAAGGCAATGCGTACGCTCTCACTGCCGCTGAAATACTGCTTCTACCTAAGCTATAAATGAGTCATACTGTTATGCTTGAAATTCGAATTATAAACAAAAATATCTCGAGATAGTTCGGCTTACACGAAACTTAATGTGTTCCGAGACGAGCGACAGCGGAAACCGACTGGCCCGTTCTCGCACTCTTAACTAGCTGCTCGACGAGCTGCTCTAAATTTTCTTGTAACTCTGATTAGAGACAAGATTCAGATTTAAAACTTTGGGAATATATTCTCCAAATAGATAACTATCGATTTACAAAAAAATCGATTTTTTGAACCGGTTACCAGTAGAATTTCCCCTTAAAATAGTATCCAATTATAATGCATTCGTTCTAACGTTGAATAAAAAGGGAATAAACCCTTGGCATACGCTGAGCTCTCGAATTGCAGAATTACGATTACTCTACAGAACAGAAGCGGAGGAAAAGAATGCCACATGTGGACGAATTAAGTCGTGTAAATAGCATCCTGATAGAAGAAACTAATACTTTTGAATTTGATCTAACTGTTTGCCAATCACAAGAAGGAGGAGTGAGTACTAGGTGGCGGCGGGACGCCGTGCGTTTGAGATCTGCGTATCTTTTCGTTCGAGTGAGAGAAAAATATCGAGAGCGCAGTTTGCTAGGCCGGGACTCGAACCCGGGTCTTTCGCTTGCGGCGTAACTGCTTTAAATCACTGAGCTACCTGACGGTTTACGCTCATGACACTCTCTTCTTCCTGGATAACACTCAGAGATGCCGTTCGGAAGTGACATCTCTGGCGCGCACGGCGATTACAGAAAGAAACAATGTCACTGTATCAAATAGAACAGCTGTCAGTCTCGAATAGGAATCGAATTATGAACAAGTTTGGAAAAGGAACAAGATAGTTACAGTTAATAAATAGTAAAAATTAATTTAGTAATAGCAAAGTAAATTTTTCAGCTTCTCGAAATTTTGTATTAATACATCTCCACCGTGACTATAATAAAATTAAATGTGTTACTAGTTAGAGTGAAATTTCTCGCAAATGTATGATATATATTGTTTTGGTAATAAATGCAATTTTTATTCATAAAATAATTTAAATAGAACATATAAGCGAATGAGGTAAAGTTGACCTATAACTAAAGGTCAGAAGGAAAGTTGCGGAGACTCTGGAACTACTAATCAGAATACATATTTTATACATTTATATTTCTTTACTCTATGCTGCTGAGAAACTGAATCTGATATCGAAATAAGATAACAATGTTGCTGCATGTTCTTATTTTGGTTATTATAAAATAAAATATACGGTTAACAGGGTCGTGACGGACATAAATACATAGAAAAAACCTCTATTATGAAGTTGTCTCTATCATGTTTATATAGTTAGTCACAACAATTAGTTATCTAACAAGTTGTAACTTCGACATTCTAAAATATAGAGCATCTAGCCTTGGTCTTTTCTATGCTATAAATGTTAATTTAAGTAAACTAACCCTTTGAAAAAAATATTTTTTTTATCTATAGCGATTTTCCATTCATGTTCTGAGCATGCTAAACGTCTTTTAACGATTGACCGACATGCAAAAATTCCAACAGTTCCAATGATATTTTTAAGAGTTATACTTATATAATGTATTCCTATAGTATTCACATAACATTATAATATATTTACTAACATTGGAATAATGGATCAACATTAAATATCCGACGAATACTGGTATAATGTATATTAGTGATTTCATCACTGCTTTTAGACTTTTAACAAATTATTATGATTAATCTAAATAGAAAATAGGGTAAATATTCCGTAGAAGCGACTCAGCTCTAATCACTTTGACTTTGAGATATGTCGTCGAGGTCATCATCCTGAGTAACCTATAAATAGTTTTAGTCCGCGCTTATTGTTTGTTAAAAAGTTATTAAAAAAAAGTTTTATAAACGGAACGTAATTTTGGTACACAATATACATTGAAATAAGGTAAACAGTGCGCGAGATATGCGTGGGAGAGGGGCTTCGCCTATAACTTTTACCAGAAACACTTTTTCCTAAAATGCTTAGTTTTCGAGATATTCGCCGCCCCGGA